AAAGAACCTACGCTACATTAGATCTCGTTATCGTCGTAGACAAGTTAACACAACGCAAGACAACACTATAGCTTATTTCGAGTGACGAACGAGACAACGTTTCGAGAAATTGGAGGCCCTTCGTCAAGAGTTAGTAGACCGAAACGTCTAGTTTCCGCTTGTTTTTTCAAGTGGTAATATAACCACTCAGCACAGCAATTTCACATTGGTAAACTACCCACACTGGTACAGACAGTTTTATTACATAAAATTGCGTCTTGGTGCTGTGAAAACAATATTTTGGTGAATCCAGATAAAACAAAATTCATGATCATTGGAACGTTACCATGCAGACGAACTTGATGTCAATTGATTTCGATCTCTTTTATGGGGAAGATTCTAGAACTGTTGATTTTGCCAAAGATCTAGGACTTCTAATGGCAGTCACCTAAGTTACGCCGATAAGCAAATATCGAATCGATCGCCTTCATAAACTGTGCCAGATAAATCACAGGTGGCTCAGGCTCTGTGTGGGTATTTATTTATATTGAGCGTAGTGTAAACGGGGCTTGAACCGTCCCGAAACAAACAGTCGACGAACAAACCAACAACAAACGCATAGACTCTTCGTGGTCTCATGCAGGTTGTATGGCAAACGTATATTTGTCCAAGACAGTACGTAAAAAACTATAATAAACAATAATTACAAGTCACCAAAAATCTATCTACCTAATGCTACGGTCGAAAACAAATATATTACAATTATAAATTAATACAGTATATTATGACCATAAACGTCAAGTTATCCTGTACCTCTGTCCCCGCGCGCAGATCCTTTTATATAAACTCTTCGTTAATATACAGATACTCTCATTTACTGTTTCACTGTTCGATTTCAGACAACCTTCTTGTAGCAAGCGCTTTAATTATTCATGCATATATTATAACGCGAGGCGCAGCCGAGCGTTTTAGATATGATAAAACGCGAGTTCGAGTGTTTTGAATAGCTTAAAGCCTTAAAATACGACTACTAAAGAATACTAATTAGGATGAACAATTATATAATCATACTATAAATTAGGATGAACAATTATATAAAGAATACTAATGAAGATGAGTTTTATCAGATATAATGTCACTCCACGTGACATGTTATGGCTGACATGATCTGCCACAAGGTTTATGAATTTTTAATGAGTATTTTAATGCAAAATATAATACTGGTAAAATTTAAAAAGAAATAAATAGCCACACAGAGCCTGGGCCGCCTGTGGATAAACAGAGTTAAAAATAATTTTGACAAGGGAACTTACAATGATAATCACTTCACTGGTGATTAGTAAACTGCTCTAGGGAAGCCTCGCATATCGAGTTTGTCCATGAGAAATGTCATATGTTCGTTTCTCTGGAGACCCCCCTCTCCCCACCCTCTCCCACCCCCTTAGAAACGTCACACATAGTTATCGATATGTTGTTCTTATAGTACACATAAAGTAATTTTCTACTATTTTCTACGATCGGCTATTGACGAAGCTTCTGCGAGGAATATGTCATCTTCTGCTGACATATCCTTTTTATTTAATATATCCATAGTAAAACACTGACTACCGGAACACCGGAACACCACCGGAACACCATCGGAACACCACCAGAACACCGGAACACCACCTAACCCTAACCCCAACCCTAACCCCCAACCCTAACCCCAAACCCTAACCCCAAACCCTAACCCTAACCCCAAACAAAATGGTGGTATTCCGGTGTTCCGGTGGTGTTCCGGTGTTCCGGTAGTCAGTGTTTTACTACATGCCATATATATGAACTTCAAAATTTCCAACGTTTCTCAAAACAACTTTTTTGCATGAAATATTGATAATTATAGCGCGTTTTTCTTGAAATTATAATAAATATAAATATAAATGTATACGTATAGAACTGCAGGTATGGTATTACGAATGTATAGACTGTTGTTTGTATCGAGTTGTTTTCTTTTTATATTCTGCAAATATGATTCCGAAATGTTAAGGCTTTCGAAAAAACTATCGAATTTTTCCATGGTGTTTACAGAGAAACGTCACAGCTGCCAAGCCCCCCCCCCCCCAAACGAACATATGACATTTCTCGTGGAAAAATCGATATGTGAGGCTTCCCCTACTGTTCCACTATATGGTAAAATACAACATGTAAAGAAACTCCGATCTAAACAAAACTTCGCATGTAGTAAGTCAGTCCATTACTTATATTACTCCAAGATCTTGATGAAGATCTCAAGTGGCTTTATAACAGTCGACAAATTACTCTATTTCCGTGATGCCGTTATGACTTTCAAATGTATGAATAACTTAGCACCGAAATATCTTTGTGATATGTTTGAGGAGCGATCTTCTATTCATAAATTACATAATCGGTCTACATGGAACTGCAACTCAAGACAGATTTAGACTAGACTACTCTCAGTTTAAAGTCTTGGTGCTAATATATATAGTTACAGTCGATTTCACGTAACTTTTGCCAAAATATCCCGAACTTCGTTTCAAAGTTTGCAAGTTCATTTCGAAGTTCCAATGTTTGAAGTTTCCAAGTTCATAAGTTCACAAGCTAGTTTGTAAACTAAGCATTTGATTGGCTTCTTTCAATTCATGGACCAATCAGAGGTCTTGTTTACAAACCGGCTTGTGAATTTCACTGTTGAACTTGTGAACTTCGAAACGAACTTTGCGAACTTCGGGACGAAGTTTGGAACATTTTGGCAAAAGTTTTGTGAAATCGACTGTAAATTAAATTGTCATCGGTCACTATTACTAGTCGATGTTGATAACTTGATAGCTAGCTCTTTCAGTGCTATACTGTTTTACTCACCGATAGTGTTTCAGTGTTACAACAGTAAGAAATACAAACTAAACTGACTTTATAGTTCTGATACTGCATAGCTTTATCAGTTCTAAATTGAATTCGGAGGTCCATTGTGTTTGGTTGAATCAAGGACTCTGAAAGAACCCTCACTTTACGTTAGAGGTATACAGGAATGTGTACAAATAAAAGGCACTTACCATTGTGGCACGTTTATTATATGTATATATTTTCGTGATTTGTGAGAAGCGTGGATCAAGGATCTTTTTGTGGTTTATTACAGTGATAACGAAATATCTAGATCTTAACAAGCAAAATACAATTATTGGGAAAAAAACGCCGAACATGCGTGATAGCGAATATCTTTTTTTCTCCAAATTATGGAATACTATATCAATTAACTTAAAAATGCTTTTAACTTTTAGGAATGGATTGAAGTGTATAATTGTTTATAGTAGACAAGCTGTCTGTATCTTTATATGCATGACCTCTTCTTGGGGGACCGAATTGAAATGATTTAAAAAAGAATCTTATGGGTGGCCATCACCATAAAAAATACACCAAATATAAAACGGTCAAGCGTATTTTTAATCGGTAAAGACAAAACAGGAAAGGAATGTTTTACACTGAAATGGTCCAGCATTCATTAATTTCATTCGTAGATTGGAACTTACAAAACCGAAACGGCCAAGACAAATTCGGAATGTTAGTGAGCAATTAATGTATAATTGGCATAGCATAAACAAAGTTGGCACAGCGTAAACTGAATTGGTTTAGCATGCACCTATAAAGTGAATTGGTTTAGCATGCACCTATATGTACTATTTAAAGTGAATTGAATTGGTTTAGCGTAAATTGAATTGGTTTAGCCACCTAAAGTGAATTGGTTTGGCGTAAACTGAATTGCATGGTTTAGCCACCTATAGTGAATTGGTTTAGCGTAAACTGAATTGGTTTAGCCGCCTATATATATATATATATATATATATATATATATATATATATATATATATATATATATATATATATATATATATATATATATATATATATATATATATATATATATATATATATATATATATATATATATATATATATATATATATATATATATATATATATATATATATATATATATATATATATATATATATATAATAAATTTACTGAATTCTGCCCTATTTCGGCTCGAGGTCATTTTTCTTCTTTTGCAATTTAGTGATTTACTGAACTATTTAATATAACTATTTATTTAATAAAGACCATTTCAAGTCCGTATAAATGCAAACAAATCCTCTGTTTACATTTTGAACTGCTATAGTTGTAAAATAAGACATACTAACTGAATATCTAACACTTTTCTAGTTCGCTGTTGTAAATGCATATAAACTATGAGTACGTTTCAATTCAAAAAAGTTCGAAAGATGGAAAATTTGGGCAATGTTTATATCTGCGGGGCCCCCTTCGTTACGAGCAAAACTGCATGATGCGCAGAACGGACTCGACATGGTCTTTAAACCTTTAACGTTGCGTTTTGTAACCACTTTTCAATAGTCCGTCTCTGATCAGGCCCATCGCATCTATCAACAGGCAACCCTTTACGTCCTTGTGGATCCTGTGAAACCCTCAAACATACCCTACAATACAGTGGCAATCCGTCCCACCACTGTCCTATCGCCGATTTATAGTACTCCTTTGGAAATTGAAAACCTTGATACTTCCACTTTAAGTATTTATTGTACTCGGTTTCGTTTTTAGCCAGCTTGGCTAGATACTCGGCTAAAGCCTTCGGTGAACTAAAATCCTTCACTTTAATAACGGAATGTTTAAGATTACCCCATCGCAACACTTCGTCAATTCCATCCGTTCCGAGCCATATTGGAACACTGCCAGCTGACAGAGCACTGTGGATTTTTTCAGTCATATAAAAAGCACAATCCGCATTCGGAAACACTATACTGAATTTATAGTTCCTTTGCAGTTCTGTGACAGCATGTCTAGAATTCATTTTGCCTTTCCGGACTAGGCTATCCTTATTCCTTAGGCATCCTCCATACGAATCCACTTTTATATATTTCATAAGCTCTGCAAGATAGCGTGTCCGTACCGGTTCGCAATTAGAGAAGATTGCGATAATTAAGCCATTCTTCTCTGCAAGCGGCACAGGTGGTTCTAACGTTGGCTTTACAAACTCTGGACAAGGAAAATCCGAATCTAAGCGGTAACTGGCGAAATAATTGAACTGCTTCATGATGTTCGGATCACGGAGTGATGGAGTGTAGTTAGGATTCTCGTTCGTGTGTAAAATCCAAGTTAAATGTTTGTAAATTTTTGGTGGGATTTCGTTGGTGTTTCTGGCGTGAACCACGAGCGCCGAGGCTTCTTCCACTCGTTTTTTGTCCGTTGTAAGTTCGCATGGAATCGGGCAATTGTTACCAGCATAAAAGAACGGCCAAGCGTCGGGGTTTGAATTAACATTCGGTGTAGCGCTGAACACTCTGCTCCAGTACAGAATCACGACTTTTCTTGTCGTGCTCTTATTGATTTCATCGCTTTGTTCTCTTTTTGTTAAGTCCTTGCTTTCATCACCAAAATTTGTTTCATTGTTGTCGACTGTCACGATAAAAGCAAAAAGTAGAATACCGATGAACGTTAGGATCACCATACCATAAAATGTTACTTTAAGCGCAGACGGTGTCGCACTTTGCATTGTGGAAACCTATAATTGCTCTTTAATTTAATTAGCTCTCCTTACATCAGTTCAGAATAAATGCGTATAGCTCATTAGACCAATTCTTGGCTAACTGGAAGTCATCACCTTTGCGCGGTTTTGATTCCACAAGTTAAACATTAAAGTTCGATTCTTTAATTCGTGTCCATGGCGTTTTCTGAAAAAATAATTTGTTGATCGCTATGTAAATGGTCCAATTGTCTTATGGGGCCTCTTGTCGAATCCGTGTGACGGAGAAATTTCGGCACCGATTTTTTCCACGTCACAAAACCGAAACGTCAGACGAAAACCTATTTTAACTTTAATGTAGCTCAGATGAATTTAGATAGAAGTAAGTTATGTACTGTTTAAAGCCAGATGATATTTCAATGCCCGATGTAGCGGAGATGAGAAAATCGCTAGCGATTGACTCTCATCGACTCGGATCAACTTTGAGCTGCCTCAAATATTCATGACAGTTTTGCTGCGCGCGCTACACACCTACAATCACGCAAGTCGTTGCATATCTACAAACGCGTTGTAAAAAGGTTGTTGTGAAGCCGATATCAGGATGTGTTCGCACTGCTTGTTCGCAGTTAACAAATCTGGAAGAGTTGCTACAAGTTGTTCCAAAAAGACTAATACAGGCTGTTCGTAACAAGTTGCTATACGAGCTTGCTGTCAACAATTATTAACAACTTGTTACGTGCAGACGATATCAAACTTGTTGGAACAACTTGTTGCGAGTCTGTTGGCCTCATCAACCTTATTACAAGATGATGATAACTTGCTCCAGACTTGTCAACAACTGGAAACAAGCTGTGCGAGGATACATCTTGTTGACAAGCGTACGACCCGACTGTCATTGACTCTCGGCATAAATTCGAGCTGTTTAGTGATGCGTGCATGAGTTTTTGCCATGAGCTGTGTAATATTCGGCAGCTCTTGTTTTCGTTTGACAGAAAGCATAAAACAGATTATCAGTACCTTGTTTAAATAAAAACTGAATTACTGGTCCTTTGAGCCAGTTCAAAGTCGAGCTTGAGTTTTCCACGAGCCAGTTCAAAGTCGACGAGAGCGCAAGAAAATATTAAAGTAATATCTTCCTTATTTAACAGGGCTAGATTAATTTGAAATCCACTTACCTTAACACAACAAAATCCGACAAAGGATTCGAATATATTCCAGCCCACTACTCCGAGGTACAATCTCTATAGCGATATTTTCTTATGCAAATGTATTTTTTTAAAAAAAGTTGGCCAGTTTGGCTTTCATATAAGTTTTATTTTTATCAAAATGCACTATTTATTATTGAAGGTATTTTTCAAATATTTTGTTTTATTTTGGTGCCTGCTCCGTTTCCATTGAAAGGTGTTTATATCAACATATTTTTGTTAACAAAGCCAAGTTGAAGTCGCGTGGAGCGATAAGAGTCCTAACAACTGGTTGTTGTTGGTGTTCAATTTTCTTCTTAATCTTCTTAACAAACAAGTTGAATCCATGGCATGGCCAGATCAAACGAAGATAAGACTGACAGCTTAGTTGGTAGAGCGAACATCATCTAGTCATTAAGGTCGCTGGTTCGAAAGCCAGCCGTGGTGGGTCCGGTGGCGCGGTTTTCTGCTTGCGCCTCTCTCCTCCGCAGAGGCTTTAGTTTTCTTTGGATTTAATATTACGATGAGATACATTTCACTACACTTTACATGGCGGATCTTGGAACACGAGCGTAGCCGCTGGGCGAAGGAGCGCAGGCGGCAAAGGGAAAGGCGAGGGAAGCCTCTGCGGAGGAGAGAGTGCTTGCGCGCTAAAATGTATTAAAATGTATTAAAATGTATTAAAATGTGTTAAAATAAAAAATGTATTAAACGGGGTAAAGTAAGTAAGAATATACCGCGTTGGCTTTTACCCTGGGCGAATATTAAAATATAAATAATAATTCGGCGGGAATCGCCGATCAAGGGTGGGTAGTACCGAAGCAGTTGTAGTTCGCTACTGTAGCGAACTACAATTTTCAAGTAGCCAGTAGTTTTTGACTACCGTAAACTTCCGAATATAAGCCCTGGGCTTATATAATTTCATAAGCCTTTTTTGATGGGCTTAAGGCCCGGTCACACTACACAACGATAACGATACGATAAATTGTAAACACGCGATAATTGTCAAAAAAATTGTATTAGTGTCCACACAACAACGAAAATGGTAAAATTATCGTTAGACGATAACGATAACGATTTTAAAATCGTTCACCTGAGCGATTTTTTTTTCAGTCGGACGATAACGATAATTTTTTGACCAATCAGCGCGCGTATACAAGTTATCGTATCGTTATCGTTGTGTAGTGTGACCTGGGCTTTATACATGGGGAGGCTTATATACGGGGGGGGCTTATACACGGACCACATCTTAGGTTAATAGTAAGAAAACACGTACTATATTTACGGACCGAAACTGCACAAAAAATATGTCCGTGACTCCTTGAGGCAAAATCGGGACGAACTGTCAAGTGTTTTGTAATCCTTTATAACCTTTGTTTAAATAAATACATACCGTAGACGTAGTCTTAGTTGAAATTTAATGCAATGTAGTGGATTTTTTTGTGTAATTTACCGGTATTATAGTGTGATGGGCTTATATACGGGTGGGCTTATGTAGGGGTGGGCTTATATTCGGGGGGGGGCTTATATACGGAATGGTGTGAACGTTAGTAATTTGATGGGCTTATAGACGGGGGGGGGGCTTATATTCGGGGG